TGTGTACAAGATATAGTTAATCTATTCATTGCTTTTGTGTTGTGTCCATTAAGCTAATCACATTTACATTGACCAAATACAGGAAGACGGTGACCTAATTGCCAAAATGGGATTCAGTGCTTACCGTTTTTCCATATCATGGTCACGTATCTACCCAGGTATTTCCTGTAACTATTTCTATTTATCAAGATACCTTTAATTAAACCATATTAGACCCATTCAAAATGAATTAATCTTTGTTTACAGATGGATTAGGAACACAGGTCAACAAAGAAGGGATCAAGTATTACAACAATCTTATAAACTACCTTCTCGAAAAGGGTATGCATTAAATTTTCCATTTTCCATTTTCTTTTGAGGATATGCTCTTACAACTTACAAGTAACTTGCAATAGGAATTGAGCCATGTGTAACATTATACCACTGGGATCTCCCATTGCATCTTGATGAGTCAATAGGAGGGTGGTTAAGTGACTCAATAGTGTAAGGTTTCATCTTTTCTCCTTACCCTAATTCTTGATTATTGTTTTTATATATTTATATCATAACTATCATTGCCAAAAATGCAGAAACTATTTTGCAATCTATGCAGAAACTTGTTTTGAAAATTTTGGTGATAGAGTGAAAAAATGGATAACAATCAATGAACCACTTCAGACAGCAATAAATGGATATTTTACTGGCATATTTGCCCCTGGAAGAAGTGAACGTTTTTCAGCTGAACCTTATTTGGCTGCTCATCACCAGCTTTTAGCCCATGCACAAGCTGTTTCAATATACAGAACTAAATTTCAGGTAAACATTTTAAATGTTTCTAATCTTTATTTTACATGATTACTAATCTTTTATTATTTTTTGTGGCATTTTTTTATACAATAGGCTCTGCAAGGTGGCGAAATAGGATTGGTTGTGGATTGTGAATGGGCTGAGCCCTTAACAGATAAGGAAGAAGACATAACTGCTGCGAAAAGGCGTGTTGAATTTCAGCTTGGATGGTAATATTTAATTAAAAACTCTCTAACTTTCTAACCCTTTTTACTATTTTTTTTTTTTTTTAAAAGAAAAGTGAATTTTTGATTTTTAGGTACTTGGATCCGATATTTTTTGGAGAATATCCTAAATCTATGCAAGAGAGGGTTGGAGAGTTGCTTCCTGTATTTTCTGAGAAAGATAAAGATGTGTTAAAAAATTCATTGGATTTTGTTGGGTTGAATCATTATACATCAAGATTTGTGTCGCATAAAACAAATGAAAAAGAAAACCATTATTTTAGAGCACAAGAGATGAGATTAACAGGTATTATTAAACTTACATTGCTTAGTAAACATGTATAGATACTTAAATGTTTTCTTACATAATTTTTTTTTTTTTTTTTTTTCTTATCAGCTGAATGGGAAAATGGTGTAATTGGTGAAAAGGTACTCCAGTATATTCATATCTAATATCTACTTAAGTCCCTATTGTCAAGACACTGACTGGTTCTTGGTTTTTTATATATGAAAAAAGACGAAAATGCCCTTCTCATAGAAAGATTTACTACGTTAGAAGTGCATTAGACAATGGGACAAAAAGTATAACCTTTTGTCCTACCCCAAAAAGGTGGGACATGGAACAGAAATACTAGTTCTTGATTTCTTGTATGTGCAAAAAGACGAAAATGCCCTTCTCATCCACACCAATAAAATCTTGATGGTTTTGTTAAATCTTCTAATTTGTCACAGGCAGCATCATCATGGCTGTATGTTGTTCCGTGGGGTCTCCGGAAAGTTCTTAAGTACATAGCTAAAAAGTACAATAATCCACCAATATATATTACCGAAAACGGTATATTTCTTCTGTAATTTCTATATTATATTTAAAAATATGTTTATTTTTGGGAATGCGTTATGAAACCATGGTAACAAACAGGCATGGATGATGAAGACAATGATGCATCTCCCCTACATGAAATGCTAGATGACAAATTGAGAGTTACATACTTTAAGTCCTATCTTGCAGCTGTTTCTCTTGCTATCAAGTCAGTGTTATTGTTATTATTGTTATTTATAAAAAAAATACGTTAAATGTGTCGTTTATTAATGAAATGATAATTTAAAAATTGTTGTTTAGGGATGGAGTTGATGTGAGGGGATATTTTGCATGGTCATTGGTGGATAATTTTGAATGGCCACAAGGATATACAAAGAGGTTTGGTTTGATTTATGTTGACTATAAAAACGGTCTTACACGTCATCTCAAGTCATCGGCTTATTGGTTCATGAGGTTTTTTAAAGCTGAAGATGGGAAAAATGGCAAAGAAGATTGATGCAAACTTTTAATGTTTCAATTTGGATATAAATTTAGAGTATTAATTTTTATCCAGTTTTTGGATATAAACATTGCCAAAATATGGTGTTTATGTACAATGTTTTAAAGTTTATGGATCAAAATATAATATTGTAATAGTTAGTAATGTCATAAACGGGCAACAAACCATTAAAATAAGGATATTTTCTTAACAAAACGTTCTGGTTCCCTTATGATGATACTTTTAAAATAATAATAATAATAAGAGTAAATTACTATCTCTATGGTTTGGTCAAAATTGTAAGTTTGGTCCATAACTTTCTTTTTGCACTCGGATCGTACATGTGGTTTGATTTTGTTATGTTTTTCGTTCCTTACATACATAAATTAGAGAGCATACGTGCAATTTGGATTAAACTATAGGGACAAAAAACGCAACAAAATCAAACCACAGGAACAAGCCGAGTACAAAAAAAAGTTAGAGACAAAACGTGTAATTTTAACCAAAACATAGGGACGATTTCAGTAATTTATTCAAATAATAATAATTGTGTTTTTGAACATTTCAAATAGTTCAATAGTTTGTTATTTATTTTTCACAAATCCTAAAATAAACAAGTACACAGATTTCGCACATACAAGCAATATAATGAGAATGAGAATGTAAAGGTAAAAGTGTAGAAAACAGAAACACTGGGATTGTTATGTGGTCACGTAACATGTTTAGATTATGCAACATGTGTAACTTCATTGCATATTTTGATAAAGATTTGTAATTTCGTTACATAAGTAAATATTTAACCTTAATTTTTTCCCATGTAAAACTAACATATTCTGAAGTACATATAAACTTCAATGTTTATCATTTAAATATATATCACATGTTTGATGTTTGATATGAAGAGACCTAATAAAGAATAATTTGCAAATTGCTTCTTTATATGGTTTTTTTTTTTTTTTGCTTCCATGGTCCCCATGATTTTATCTTAGGTCATTGGTTACGGTAGCAATGAAGTTTGCGGGGTGCTGATGTGGCATGTTGGCCTCAACAGGAACACCACATTATGTGTGAGTCATAGGTGAAAGATGAAAGTTAGCCTTATTTTGGATACTATTTCATGCCTACTAACACTATCAGATCGTTAAATACTTAAATACATGTAAAATTACTAGTATCGCTAACATTAAATAATGTCTTCCCACATTATTGTAATAATATACTTTACATAGTCATACTTAATACTTAAATAAAAAACCAAAGACAAAAATGCGTAGATAGGCTAACCCGACCCATCAAGATTTGACTTGTCATCCAATCTGTTAAATTTGCAGCCTCTAGCAAGCACACATGTCTACCCGCTTTGGATCCTAGTGTTAGGGAGAACCAAACGACAAGCAACATAAGGTACGAGAAAAATGAAAAGAGTACGAATATTATATTTACCTAGTTCACACGACTAGTGTAATAGTGCTGGGAGTTTTAATGATGATAAAAAGGGACCGATGATTTGAGTCATTTATACAGTTGGGTTTTGTTTCTTTTTTCCTGGTTGTGTTACTTTCAATCGTCTACTCTTTTTGATCCTCAACCAGAGAATTTATTCCCATGAGTCAAATATGGAGTCTCTTAGACATTTCACCAAACACCTAACATGCATCAATATAGGAGTATATACAACACAACAAAGGATTCATACATGTCAAGTTTACCAGAAAGATTTAAGCTGTTGACATTCCATGATTCCAGGATGCAAAAATCTCAAAACAGATTAAACTGATCATATGGAATCGATTGTTTGTGGGTTAGCAAGAGGAAAGGGAGATTCTTCCTGGGAAATTGCAACAAGCAGCATACCAAGAAATATATCATATAGAGAGATTCATATCTCTTGGACATTTCATCAAACACTTAACGGGCATACATATATTCAATATGCAAACAAAAAACTCGATAAACGCAAAGACGATCGCACAACATCATTATGAATGTATAAAAAGAAAAAAGGTCCAGGCATATAATCCAAGACAAAATTCAAGTTTCAAGATGCAAAATTCTTCAACAGATAAAATTACAAAATCACAAGTTTTCAATTTTCTTGGTCTAGTCTTGAATCGTTGACCTTATCTGTTATGATGGAGTCGGTTGTTTGTGGGTTAGCAATATCATGAGGAGAAGAAGATTCTTCCTGGGAATCGAGCAACTTGTTCATGTCTCTTACTCTACTTGTAGCAACGTTTGCGACAAGCACTAGAAACATGAGAGAGTTATTCAGATGGGTGTTATGTGGAAGGGGAAATAAGAAGGTAGGGCGGAGATATTAGTTACCGGCGGCGGTGCCGATCGTCCATATCCAGAGAATCTTGACTCCGGGGCTCTTCTCCTTCCACATTGTGATCGCGTTACTAAATTTGGAGAGATGACCTACACTACAGACCTACAGTCTACACTTCATTCGTGTTTTCCTTTTCTCGGAGAATTTGGGTATGAAATTAATTATAAAAATAGTATTATTCTTTTTTAACCGCATTTTAATAATATTATTCTGGATCTTAAATTCGGTAAGTAGCTTTATATAAATACTGCCACTGTGTAGGAAAAGATAATTATTTATATTTGTCAAGATATCAGATATGTAAGGATTTTAAATCAAATAAAGTTAGTTTGTATAATTTAGATGAAATAAGTGGTTATATACTTATATAGCAACGTTGATAGGTCTGTTGTCTATAGATTATAAGCTGAAAAATCAACACAATCATTTCTTCAAACCTTTGAATCCCTATTTTTTTCATTACTCTTTTATTCAAAACTTTGGTCTGATCATAATATAGTATACGAGATAGATAGATTTCAAAAGTTGTATTATTAAAGTTAATCGTAGTTACAAGTTTAATAACAAGATTTTTAAGCAAACCACAACCAATAATGAATCAAATAAGCCACACATACGAAATATCTTCCTAAAAAAGTAGTCAAAACTCTTCTAATCTTTACATCTAGTTTCAAAATTCTTTCAAACAATCTTCAATAAAACTTAAAGAATGTCATACTCTACTACAGATGGGCAAAATAGTCTTTTAACATCAAGAGCAATCGGTATACACCATGATAAACTAATTAAAATTACTCAATAAATGATGTGACTGTGTGGCCTTCAACCTTTGCTCTCTTCATCACCTCCTCCTGCCCAATTACAATTATTATTACCACATGTAAACACATAAATAATTTCCACAAATTTTATGTATATATAATTTCCCCAATTGTATGATTTTTTTTTGTTCAGTTATATTGAAGTTATTTTTGTATGTATTACCTTCTACAAAATATAAAGAAATTGTTTAAAGAATCTATATTTTACCTGGATCACTGCAGTTATGCTTCCAGGACACTCCTATTATCATTTTTAAAAAAAATATTAAAAAAAAAATCCATGAGCAAAATAAATAAGTCTGATAATTAAAAATATTGACACACCTGAAATAGTTTCTCTTCCCACATTACATCTTTCCACGTTTTACAACTCAGTGAGTTCCATGAACCTGGAACTCGAATTGTTTCCACATGCTGCAAAATCCTCAAGCTATCTGTGATATATATGTATTGTATTCTTTTTAAATTCCATTCCATGAAAATTAACAATATGAAAGGAATCGAAATGGTCCATTCCATCAAAAAAAAAAAAAGAATTCCATTCGAATGGAATGAACCATTCCATTCCTTCCCGGATTCCATCACAACAAAAGAATCATATCATACTTGTAATAAATGCTTCTTCCCACAAGTGGCGTTTGGACCATGATGGAGCAACTTCACGTATCGGGATTCCAATTCCCAAACATACCCTACACAACAAAAAGAATCATTTTTACTGCTATAATTTAAGTAGATTTTCATTTTCCAAGGGCATAATTGTCATTTACATTTCTTATTAAAAAAGGACTTACTCGATGATCACTTCTCGTACTACTCCTGGAAGGACACCATCACTTATTGGAGCTGTCTGTAATTCAAGTGAATAACCATCTTTTATACTATCCTGCATATACATGTCACAAAAAAGATTAATAAGCCAGAAAAGATTATAGCTAAAGTTACAAACACAAGATGACAATTACATGACAATAATCTCCTCTATATCAGTACAATGTCAATTAAAAAAGGGGAACATTGCAACCATTAACAGCATACATACCTTACGACAGATAACAAAAAAATTTGTTAAACAACCTTCAAGAATGTGATCTCCATCATTTGAAAGCAAGAGCTCAGTAGCAGATGGAGGCCTCAACTTCTCCAATGGTTTCCTCATCCTACTCAAAAACCATATTCTCAGATGACAGTGACAGTGACAAGTGACAGTGAAAGTAGCATTATATTTACCTGACCCAATCTGAGTATTTTGCATTTGCAGTATCTCTTCCATGGCCAACAAGAGCTAGATGAGCGCCATCTGTCCGGACTCCAAATACAGGAGGAGAATATAAACTTACATGAAGATGCAAACTAAAAACCCTATGGATTTCTTCTTCACCTATCTTCTCGTTTGGAATCAATTTCTCCAAGTTTCCACTCACAAGAGCAGTGAATGCCAATTCTGTTCCGGTTTTCCTCTCTTTCAATGCAACAGGTATTGCTTTTGTCATTGAATTATTAACGAAAGACGGAATCAGTGAATCCCATTCCAGGGATTTCATCTGTTGCAGGGATACGGGGGTCAAATTTATTCCTGGACGGAATAGAAGGTTTGGACATGAATTGAAGAGAATGTTTGTGGAAGTAGAAAGCCTGCGCAAATGCCTTTCCCAGAAGAGAAATTCTAAGCCATTGTTATGAGTTCTGAAGGTAGTGTAAGCACCTGGAATTCAATCGTTATTTGAAATTGATCTTTTAGGAGCTAATATTATTGATCAGCGATAGCGAATTATCAGATATTAAGTTGGCTAATACTCCATTAAAATGAAATTTAGATACGATAAGTTGGAGAAGTAAGAAGGAATGGAGCAAACCTGGATGGGATTCAAGCAAGGTTGTCACCGGAGGAGTGGGGGTAGGTGAGGCGACACCATTGACGAAGAGAAATACCGGGTCAGGCATTCACTGCAGCTAAGCCGAGCGTTGAAGTTGAAGTCAGGTGAGGTGAGACAGCGTATAAAAACCTCGACACAAATTCCTTCTTCCTCTATCTCTCAACAACGCACAACGCCACAACCCTTTTCAGCAAAATCACACCACACCGGAGATTTAAGATGGAACGGACCATGGGGCGAGCAGTCAGTCGAGTAGCTGATGAAGAAATAACAGAAAGAATGACATACCACCAAGCTACTTTCACCAAGAGATTTGTCCGCAAGGGGACATGAGGTTAAACATAAGGAACTTATTCCATACACAACAATTGTTGTTGTCCTTTAAAATGTAGTATTGTACAACTCTATAATGCATAAATTATTGTGGACGACAAAAAACTGATGTGTACGAATCTCTTCCCTAAACATAATAGTAGATTGGTAGCAGTTTGCTAAATGATAATATATATATATATATATATATATATATATATATATATATATATTCAAATGTTTCTAGCATCTATTATATGCTCGTACGCACAAATCTGGACTAATTGATGAAATAAAATAAATGATCATATGATCTCAGGGTGCAAGATAATAGAATAGGTTAACATGTACCATATAATCATACAAATTTAAATATAAGAGTATTTTTGTCAACTAACCTATATTAAAAAAGGAAAATTTCGGATTTCTAGGGATAATAATTCTTTTAATTTAATAAATCTGAATTTTTTAAATTAATTCAACTTTAATTCTATCATAATTTGTTAAAATAAACCGAATTTATTCTGATAGAATGTCAATCATAAACTAGTAACAATATTTCCGGTTTTATTCTTACAGAATATAGTTCTAATTCATATATTTTTGATAACTGACCATATTTAGAGGGTGTTTAGATAGGAAAAAAAGATGGTGCTTATTGCTTATTCTCACCACAATAAGCTAATTTTAAATGTTCAGATAAAATCCTTAAAAATCAACTTATGTGTTAAGAATAAGCTAAATAAACTAATTTTAATAAACATCTCCCCCTTGCTTATTGTTTATTGTATATTCCCACCACAAATAAACTAATAAACAATAAGCTAATAAGCTGATCCAAACACCTCCTTAAGAATTCTACATATTCTTCATATATTTGACCTTAAATACAAGTTCATACATATTCTTACATACTAATAACCTTATACATTTTAATATATTTACATAGATTCTAACAGAATATCATAAAAAACGAGTAAATTTATTAATAAATTAACAAATACACTTAATCTTCTTCAGTGATCCAAATAATCTACTTGATTCCAATTATTCTTACGAAAATGTGATGTATTATCGTAAGAATGTAATTCTTCGCAAATATACTTGATGTTGTGACATTCCCAAAATCACGGCTATAAAAGACCGGTTTCATTTATGCTTTTAGAATAATTTCAGAGTATATCCTTTTGATTTAAAAGAGTTGCGGAATTTGTTCCCAAAAACAAAACGTGATAAAATAATATTTACCAAAGCATTTCATAAAGAAATGTATTTTCATTATATAATCAAAACTTAGGATGTCATGTTCCGATACAGACCATAAAGCATAAACGATAACATTACAAGTCATTCAACAAATATATACATATACAAACTTGTAAACAAAACAACTTGATGATTCATCCATCTTATGCCCTTGCGCCATTTCCTGTAATACAAATAAACTGAATGGGTCAGGCTTGGGAGCCTGGTGAGCATATAGGGTTTTCAACCCACAATAAATAATTAAATTAATTTTCACCAACCAACCATAACCCAATTACCCATTCCGGTTATTCTCACTTTACGTCTCTAAAATAACTAACACAAGGGACCTAGTCTAAGAATATTTCATCGGGGCGACAACACATGCTTCGGGGGTTTCCCAGCAATATATGTCAAATAAGGCAACCATGAGGGGGATGGAGTACATCGAATGAACACCCAAGTTCATTAACACCTACAGGTGGCGAGCCTGCTAGCGTTCCACAGGACTGTCTAGAAAAGTCTGTGGTCGTCATCTAAACTCCGCTAGATGACTGAATCAAAAACAACATCGAGGCCTCTCATCTGTTTATCACACATCAACTATCTACCCATGTTCTACCCAACATATTAGTAGATAAAAATATATATTTTTATACATAGTTTAAAACCTGTATAGCATTCTCATTCAATACATATTCCAAACAACAGATGAGACACATACACATAACACGTATTTCATAGAGAATAAATCATATCTATGAGATTGAAGAAAGTGAATATACATTCACACATATAACAACAAATTATACACATAACACGTATTTCGTATAAATACTTCATAATTATACGTTAGAAGAAAGTAACTACACACTCACTTGATCAGAAGATGATCGGACAGCACTACGACTTGTAGAAGTAGTATTCTTCGGTAGATCTGGAAGATCTTCACACAAACCGGGCTCCTCGCGGGCAGAGTTTCGGCTCGGAAACTCTTTTCTTCTCTGGATCTTTGGGCTTCGGGACTCGCTTCAGGTCTCGGGATGATACCGGGGCTTCGGGATATTTCTTGCACGTAAATCGAGGTAAAACGGGAGAGAGAGGAGAGGAAATAGCAACCCTAAATGACTGTCCCTTCAAATATATTTATAGGGCAAATTTTGCCCTTGCCACGTCGTGGGCTTGGTCGTCACTGCATGCGTCATCGCAAGTTGCGTCTGGGGGACTCCAGGAGGTGTCAGAAGACTTGCCACGTCGTGGTATCTGACAGTTTTGGGGTTTCGCACCCCGAACTTCAGAAATTCATAACTTTCGCATACGAACTCCGTTTTCGACGTTCTTTATATCGACACGTAGGTGAGATTATGATCTACAGCTCTCGTTTAGACTCCATTGGATAATTTTGACTTTATTTTTAATATATTATAAATATATTACTTATATATTATTTTTAGTAGGTCGGGATAGGAAAACTCCGTTATAAATTCATAACTTCTTCATCCGACGTCCGTTTTCGTCCGTTTTTGCCCAAGGGATCGGATTCGAGATCGAGGGATTATCAGGACCGCAGTCGATGCGGAAAGTGTGGCAGGGCGCACGGGGGTGCGTGTAGGAGTGGTAGTGGTGTTGAGTCTGGCTGCTTCAGGTGCGGTCGGACTGGTCATTTTAGCAGGGATTGTGCTGTCACCATCACTCAGGGATCAGACTTGATATGTTTTCACTGCAATCAGCGGGGCCACAAGAAGGCCCAGTGCCCCAGTTTGTTTTCAGCAGGACGGGTGATGGCACCTGCCCCTGCAACCTTGAGGATCACAGACGGCCATTAGGGCCATGCCGAGGCGCCTGTGGTAGGAGGCAGGGCTTTTCAGACGGCTACTTTGGAGACACGAGCAGCGCCAGACATTGCAGGTATGCGATTTCCGTTTTCAGTTCTTTTGTTTGTGCATGATGTTATATTGTTATGGTTTCTGCATCATTATCAGTATGAGCATTTCATTTTGAGCGGTTTGATTGTGATCGAGTTATATGTCATCTGCATACCTTGGATATTTGGTTAGTAGTTAAGGGATGGGTTCTATCGAATAAGGTTACTTAGGGTGCAGTAACTGTAGCATGCCTTGGGGGGACTCGGTATGTCTCGCTAGTTCGGAGCCGTATAAGTTTTAGAAATGGACTGGTTAGATCCCTAGCTATGGTAAGCGTGGGATTCCTCAGCATATTGATTATGGAATGGTAGCAAGGATTGGGATTCCTATTCATTGAGCAACAAGGTGTAAGCAGGATCGAAGTGGGGGAGAATCCTCCGAATGTACAAGGGTAAAAGCACGCAAATCCAGAACGAGTATGCGATTTTTGAGTAGGAAAAGAGGTAGTTCAGCATTGGATGGATTGAGTAGTTCAGGGTTGGGAGTTTGAGAAACTCCCCATTAGTCCGTGCGGGTAAATGGTAATGGTGAGTATGTGGTTCGGATTCAGGTTGGAGGGTCGCCTCTAGGACTCGTGTGGGTCGGAATGAAGGTCTTGAGGTCAGATAGCATGGGATGCTTTCGTGTTAGTAGTCAGTGGCAGAAGTAGCATGTAGAGCATGGAAGAGTGGCGGGAGAGCCTTAGCTTTCTTCAGCAGCAGTCAGTGGTGGAAAGTGATGTACGACTATGGGGAAGCCGTAGCATTCACTAGCAGTCAGTGGTGGGAAGTGTTGTCAGACTACGGGGCAGCCGTAGCATTCACTAGCAGACGACGATAAAAGGTGATGTAAGACTGCGGGTAAGCCGTAGCATTCCATAGTAGCTTCGTTGGCAGAGTCAGGGCCAGGCCCTTATCTCCTAGCATTCAGATAGGGATCAGGAATGAGTAATGGATGAGAATGATGAGAAGTTTGCCTGTATAGCCTTGAGAGGTGAGGCCTTGGGAGAGGCCGTTCTAGGATATATTTGGGCGAGACCCGTATGAGAATAGCAGTGTAGGTGAGACCTGAAAGCAGGGTTGCTCAGTAGTATGGTTGGGTGAGACCTATGGGCGAGGCCCATGCGAGAGTGGTTAGACAAGTGGGACTAGAAGGATAGGGGCGGGTGAGACCCATGGGCGAGGCCCGTAAGTTTTAGTAGCAAAGGTGGGACCTGGTAAGGATCTTAGTGTCTAGATAGGGGATCGGGGATCCCAGGAAATTGTAGCGCCAACATGGTAGAATAGATTGAGCAGTATAGGTGGTTGAAGTTTCTTCGAATGTCGCTAGGAGCGACTAGTGGTTGTGTTGGGTCAGCAATCGGTGGGAGCCGGTAATCCAAATATTGATAGGTTGGTAGGGACCAGGGTGGTCTCAGTTCATCCGGAAGCCAGATAAGGAATAACAGGATTTCCAGTCAGTATCAGTGCGAGTATGCAGCGTATGGTGGAATTCAGTTAGTTGATCGCGGGGGTGCTCGACACCAAAGGATAGTAGAAGGAATGCCCAGTGGATACTGGCGATAATGACCCGTACTAGGAGTAGTGGGAGTAATTGATTGGTTGAGGACAAGGTCTTCACAATGGCAGAGGGGATAGATGGTTATAGAGCATTGCCTTGGGAAGGCAAGGAAATCGGGCAAGGAAAGAAGGGGTGAACCCCTATGGGTTTAGTTGCAGTACTCGGAGAGTACCAGAAGAATTGTCGGTTGAGTAAGTTGTGTTTCCAAAATGTTCAGAGTCAGGATGGACTCGAGATTATTATCCGTAAGGAGTGACGTTAGTCTGAATGACTAAGCGGAAGGCCAACAAAGGTAGGCAGCTGGTGTTAGAATGAATGGTGGGGTATTGAAGGCAGATTGCAGGCAGTGGATC